TTTTTTTTTAAACATTTATTTACATCTATTTACACACTATCAACAGTGTTCAAAATTGTAAAAAATATGTACAATATATACAGGTGACGACTTTTGTCAATGACGCAAACACTTTTAAGCAAACGATACGTAAATTGACTAAGATGGTAGGGCACTTGCGTGTCCTTAGCAAGGGAGATATCTTGCTATGATAATATTTTCTCCACGAGTAGCGGCATGTTATATAATATCTGGCGACTGACCGATTTTTTTTTTCACTATTTCTTTCCAGTCATCGTTCTCTTGGCATACAAGTATGCTATGGCCTAGTTGAATTGCTATGTGTTTAAAATTTACCCAGGAGGGCTTTGCAGCTCCCGCTTCAGTATCTACTTTTCGCGTCTTCCATAAGCTATAAAGTCCTAGTACAACTAAAACATCTTGGATTGTATCCTGGTTTTCGTCGAAATGTAAGTATTGAAAATTTGTTTCAACCACTTCAAAGTCCTTTTTCAGTGTCCTTTTGCAAACTCCCCCCCCCCCAAAAAAAAAAAAAGGAAAAAAAAAAGAAAAAAAAGACAGCGTCTACACATAAAATGAAAGCGTGCGTGAACATTTCAGTTGTTTGGCAAAGTCGGGCAATAGGTGACCGGCGTTTGAGCCGGAAGTTTCGTCATCCGAAGCGAGGCACCACCTGACTTCACGCTTCCGCGGTTCGACCGGTGCCGGTCATGGTTCGTCCAGCTGCATCGAGTTCTAGGCGTGGTAGCCGTGCTGCATTCGCGGTGAAAATGGTTTACAGCTCCGCGGTACGTTGTTCTAACGCAAGCCATAGAGGGCATCAGATGTTCCAGTTCCCGTGAAACAAAGCATGGAAGCAACGATGGGCCGTCGCTTTTAAGCGAGTGATGGAGCGAGGTGACCTGTGACAGACAAACGTCGGTGACCGTTTATGCGCGGCCAATATTGTTACAGCCCAGTACAACGTGTTCTCTCTTTCTTCAGGTAGGGGCCGCGGGAAATAACGACCTCTAACAGTCTTTTGGCACCCACCATAAAGGTTGAATATAAATGTAGAGCTCTCGAGCCCATCCTGGTACTATGGAAAATACTGCAAAGTGAATCCTTCTTGAGAAAACCGGTCTCAAATCGAGGATGGTTCGGCTGTTTTTATGCATTCGTTCATCTTTTGAAATTTGGGCACCCGCGTCTCGCCAGAGAACTTTTTGAGGACAACCCAGTTCTCAGCCAAAGGTTGAATATAAAATGTAGAGCTCTCCGAGCCTATCCTGGTACTATGGAAAATACTGCAAAGTGAATCCCTTCTTGAGAAAAGCGGTCTCAAATTGGGGATGGTTCGGCTGTTTTTATGCATTCGTTCATCTTTTGAAATTTGGGCACCCGCGTCTCGCCAGAGAACTTTTTGAGGACAACCCAGTTCTCAGCCAAAGGTTGAATATAAATGTAGAGCTCTCGAGCCTATCCTGGTACTATGGAAAATACTGCAAAGTGAATCCCTTCTTGAGGAAACCGGTCTCAAATTGGGGATGGTTTGGCTGTTTTTGTGCATTCGTTCATCTTTTGAAATTTGGGCACCCGCGTCTCGCAGAGAACTTTTTGAGGACAACCCAGTTCTCAGCCAAAGGTTGAATATAAATGTAGAGCTCTCGAGCCTATCCTGGTACTATGGAAAATACTGCAAAGTGAATCCTTCTTGAGAAAACCGGTCTCAAATCGAGGATGGTTCGGCTGTTTTTATGCATTCGTTCATCTTTTGAAATTTGGGCACCTGCGTCTCGCCAGAGTACTTTTTGAGGACAACCCAGTTCTCAGCCAAAGGTTGAATATAAATGTAGAGCTCTCGAGCCTATCCTGGTACTATGGAAAATACTGCAAAGTGAATCCCTTCTTGAGGAAACCGGTCTCAAATTGGGGATGGTTTGGCTGTTTTTGTGCATTCGTTCATCTTTTGAAATTTGGGCACCCGCGTCTCGCAGAGAACTTTTTGAGGACAACCCAGCTCTCAGCCAAAGGTTGAATATAAATGTAGAGCTCTCGAGCCTATCCTGGTACTATGGAAAATACTGCAAAGTGAATCCCTTCTTGAGGAAACCGGTCTCAAATTGGGGATGGTTTGGCTGTTTTTGTGCATTCGTTCATCTTTTGAAATTTGGGCACCCGCGTCTCGCAGAGAACTTTTTGAGGACAACCCAGCTCTCTTGCCAAAGGTTGAATATAAATGTAGAGCTCTCGAGCCTATCCTGGTACTATGGAAAAAACTGCAAAGTGAATCCCTTCTTGAGAAAACCGGTCTCAAATTGGGGATGGTTCGGCTGTTTTTATGCATTCGTTCATCTTTTGAAATTTGGGCACCCGCGTCTCGCAGAGAACTTTTTGAGGACAACCCAGTTCTCAGCCAAAGGTTGAATATAAATGTCGAGCTCTCGAGCCTATCCTGGTACTATGGAAAATACTGCAAAGTGAATCCCTTCTTGAGAAAACGGGTCTCAAATTGGGGATGGTTCGGCTCTTTTATGCATTCGTTCATCTTTTGAAATTTGGGCACCCGCGTCTCGCCAGAGAACTTTTTGAGGACAACCCAGTTCTCAGCCAAAGGTTGAATATAAATGTAGAGCTCTCGAGCCTATCCTGGTACTATGGAAAATACTGCAAAGTGAATCCTTCTTGAGAAAACCGGTCTCAAATCGAGGATGGTTCGGCTGTTTTTATGCATTCGTTCATCTTTTGAAATTTGGGCACCTGCGTCTCGCCAGAGAACTTTTTGAGGACAACCCAGTTCTCAGCCAAAGGTTGAATATAAATGTAGAGCTCTCGAGCCTATCCTGGTACTATGGAAAATACTGCAAAGTGAATCCCTTCTTGAGAAAACCGGTCTCAAATTGGGGATGGTTCGACTGTTTTTATGCATTCGTTCATCTTTTGAAATTTGGGCACCCGCGTCTCGCCAGAGAACTTTTTGAGGACAACCCAGTTCTCAGCCAAAGGTTGAATATAAATGTAGAGCTCTCGAGCCTATCCTGGTACTATGGAAAATACTGCAAAGTGAATCCCTTCTTGAGAAAACCGGTCTCAAATCGAGGATGGTTCGGCTGTTTTTATGCATTCGTTCATCTTTTGAAATTTGGGCACCCGCGTCTCGCCAGAGAACTTTTTGAGGACAACCCAGTTCTCAGCCAAAGGTTGAATATAAATGTAGAGCTCTCAAGCCTATCCTGGTACTATGGAAAATACTGCAAAGTGAATCCCTTCTTGAGAAAGCCGGTCTCAAATTGGGGATGGTTCGGCTGTTTTTATGCATTCGTTCATCTTTTGAAATTTGGGCACCTGCGTCTCGCCAGAGAACTTTTTGAGGACAACCCAGTTCTCAGCCAAAGGTTGAATATAAAATGTAGAGCTCTCGAGCCTATCCTGGTACTATGAAAAATACTGCAAAGTGAATCCCTTCTTGAGAAAACCGGTCTCAAATCGAGGATGGTTCGGCTGTTTTTATGCATTCGTTCATCTTTTGAAATTTGGGCACCCGCGTCTCGCCAGAGAACTTTTTGAGGACAACCCAGTTCTCAGCCAAAGGTTGAATATAAATGTAGAGCTCTCAAGCCTATCCTGGTACTATGGAAAATACTGCAAAGTGAATCCCTTCTTGAGAAAACCGGTCTCAAATTGGGGATGGTTCGGCTGTTTTTATGCATTCGTTCATCTTTTGAAATTTGGGCACCCGCGTCTCGCCAGAGAACTTTTTATAGACAACCCAGTTCTCAGCCAAAGGTTGAATATAAAATGTAGAGCTCTCGAGCCTATCCTGGTACTATGGAAAATACTGCAAAGTGAATCCCTTCTTGAGAAAACCGGTCTCAAATCGAGGATGGTTCGGCTGTTTTTATGCATTCGTTCATCTTTTGAAATTTGGGTACCCGCGTCTCGCCAGAGAACTTTTTGAGGACAACCCAAGTTCTCAACCAAAGGTTGAATACAAATGTCGAGCCCTCGAGCCTATCCTGGTACTATGGAAAATACTGCAAAGTGAATCCTTCTTGAGAAAACCGGTCGCAAAGTGGGGATGGTTCGGCTGTTTTTACGCATTTGTCCGTCTTTTTAAATTTCTGCACCCGCGTCTCGTCAGGGATCTTTTTGAGGACAACCAAGTTCTCAGCCAAAGGTTGAATATAAATGTAGAGCTCTCGAGCCTATCCTGGTACTATGGAAAATACTGCAAAGTGAATCCTTCTTGAGAAAACCGGTCGCAAAGTGGGGATGGTTCGGCTGTTTTTACGCATTTGTCCGTCTTTTTAAATTTCTGCACCCGCGTTTCGTCAGGGATCTTTTTGAGGACAACAAATTTCTCAGCCAAAGGTTGAATATAAATGTAGAGCTCTCGAGCCTATCCTGGTACTATGGAAAATACTGCAAAGTGAATCCTTCTTGAGAAAACCGGTCGCAAAGTGGGGATGGTTCGGCTGTTTTTACGCATTTGTCCGTCTTTTTAAATTTCTGCACCCGCGTCTCGCCAGGGATCTTTTTGAAGACAACCAAGTTCTCAGCCAAAGCTTGAATATAAATGTAGAGCTCTCGAGCCTATCCTGGTACTATGGAGAATACTGCAAAGTGAATCCTTCTTGAGAAAACCGGTCGCAAAGTGGGGATGGTTCGGCTGTTTTTACGCATTTGTCCGTCTTTTTAAATTTCTGCACCCGCGTGTCGTCAGGGATCTTTTTGAGGACAACCAAGTTCCCAGATAAAGACAAAATATAACATTTAGAGCCCCCGAACATATCCTGGTACTATGGCAAATATTTAAAAAAAAACGAATCCTTTTTGAGAAAACCGGTTTCAAAATGGGGATGGTGTGGCTGTTTTTACGCATTCCTTCATTTTTTGAAATTTGGGCACCCGTGCATCTTCCAGGAACTTTTTGAGGTCGGCCGAGAAGCTAACTGGTGATTGTTGTGTATGGTGTTTTGAATCAGAAAGAAGAAGCCGGTTATGTAAACTGATAGCCGTCTTTATTCATGTTGCCGAAATGCATCCTCTTTGATTCGCTTGCCTTTCTTTGGCTTACAGAGCGGCTTGCTAAAATATCGAAACTTCTTCGGGTTGAGTGTGAGTCCACAATCCCTGAGGCGTTGTAGCACAGCTTTAGCACAGCTTCCAGTGAGTCATTATGTTCTTGGTCTGTTCTTCCATACACTAAGATGTCGTCGCTGATGTTAATGACTCTTGGGATGCCAGCGAGCACTTGTCGGACCGTGTTCTGGAACAGCTCTGCAGCAGCAGTAATTCCAAAGTTCAAACCTTTGTATCGGTAGAGTCCGATGTGGGTTGCAAACGTCGTGATGTGTCTCAAGTCCTCGTGCAATACTAGCTGGTGGTATCCGTCGTTGAGATCGAGTTTCGAGAACACAGATGCGCCATTGAGGCTTGTGACGAGATTATCCAGCGTTGGGGATGCATGCCGCTCTCTGTCAATGGCTTGGTTTGCTCGGCGGATGTCTACACGCATCCGAACAGTGTCCAGTGCATGTGGCTTTGGCACAACGACGATGGGGGAGACCCATGTAGTGGGGCCCGAGGCTTTCTCGATCACATCGAGCTCCTCCAGTCGCCGTATCTCTTTTGTGATCAGCTCATGTATGTTGAACGGGATGGGTCGTAGCTTCTGCGCCACTAGAGGAATTGATTGATCAATGTGCAGTTTCAATTCAATTCCTTTGAGCTTTCCTAGTCTTCTGAATAGCTCGGGGTTCGTCTCTTGGATGCTCTACGATGGAGAAACCTTGTACACGGCTGAGACAAGTCCCAGAGCTTCGGCTGATTTGAAGCACAACAGTGACTCACTTGGCGTCCTTGTCACCAGTGTGATATCCCGCAACTTGGTGTCCGTGTAGCAGAGTTCAGCAGAAAACTTGCCCATTAAAGGAAGTTCTGTTCTTGATCCGTATGCATACACTTTTGGTACCGGGCCACCCAGGGTCGGTTTGCCTGGGAGCTTGCTATACGTGTCATGTTTGATGACGTTTACCGAAGCTCCCCTGTCCACGATAAAGTCAATGTCACGGTCACCGATGGAGCCTCTGAGTTGTTGAGCTGTAACGTGAAAGCTTGGTCGTTCGAATCAGAGTCTTAACTGTGCTCAACCAACCTGTGAGCCGTGTTGGGTCCACCTTGTCGGCTCTTTCCTCGGCATACGTCTGCGAAGTGTCCTCGCTTTTTGCATGCTTTACAAGTTTTGTTTCTTGCTGGACAGAACTTTCCTTACTCGTGGGGCCACAGTCCACCACAGTTGAAACACTTTCCTTCAGTTGTAGTTTGTTGCTGTTTTGACGTCTGGGCGGATCTCTGCTTCCAAGGCTTCTCCTTGCGCATCAAGTGATTCACCTGGTCGGTCGCGGATGTCTCCATTTCTTTCAGCTGTCGCGAGGTGATTTCGTACGTCCGTCCTTGTGTTAGAATATTCTCGAGCGTCTCGTCTGTCTGGAGCGCGAAACGTCGTAGTTTTGTGGATGACATACCGAGCACGGTTTGCGATTTTATCTCTGCGTCAGTGTCCGCAACAGTACAGTGCCTTGCCATTGCACGGAGGAACGTGTAGAAGGCACCGATGGTCTCACCATCTTGTTGGGTAGTTTTTCGGAAGTTGAAGATTTTGTAGTCTTTGTTAACCCTCGGCGTGAAGTGGTCGTGGAGCAGCTGTTTTGTTTTTTCGTAGTATCTGGTGATCCAAAAGTGCTTCCCGCTTCGCTTTGACCGGTCTGTTCCGTAGTGGTAACTGCCGTGGTTACGCTGGGTGGGGTTGCCGTTAACGGTGCGAGTGACGCGTACACGTCGTAGCCTTCCTCACCGATGTAGTGGAGCAGCAGAGCCTTCTTTTGCTTTGCATCCTTGACCTTGAGCGCCGTCAACAGATTCTCGAATCTGTCGATCCAACGTCGCCACCAATCTCCGAGCGTTGCTGGAGACGAACTGACATCGAAGGGCGGGAAAGCCGGCAAAGACGGAGCAAGCGCCATCTTGCTTCTGAGCCCACGCTGCTTGAAATTTTCTGAGCGTCGGGAGCCGGTGAACTGACCTTCCTTGCTCGTTCGGTGGTCCGATGAGAAGGCACGGGGTTACCTTGTCACGTTGGACGCATCGCTCGTCGCCAATTTCTTGTGTCTGGTGTTTTGAACCAGAAAGAAGAAGCCGGTTATGTAAACTGATAAACGTCTTCATTCATGTTGCCGAAATACATCCTCTTAGATTCGCTTGCCTTTCTTTGGCTTACAGAACGGCTTGCTAAAATATCGAAACTGAAACCGAAACAGAACAGTGATGAAATACAACATTTAAGGCCCTCGACACTAAGCTTCTACTAAGACCAATACTCTCAAATTAGCCATGTTTGTGTAAACTTCTCTCGAAGTGGACATGGTCCGACTATTTTTAGGCATTCGCTCATCATTTCAAAATCGGGCACCGGCTCCTCATCCAGGAACTTTTTTGAGATTGGCCGAATTTTTGACTGGTGGCGAAATACAATTCTTTAAGGTTACCGAATACAAACCTCTGCTATTGCAAAATCTTGGGCTTCAGCCCTCTTCGAAGAATATGATATCACATCAAAAATATGATATCTACTTTTCATTAGAGCAATGTTCTTCTCGAGACAGAGGGAGAGAAAAACGCATATTATATTCTTGAGCATATAACAAAAGCTCTATGTAAATTATGACGTTAAAATCCTGAGACTAGGAAGGAAAATTTAAAGAAAAAGTGTAAGAAGACACAGAAATAAGGAGACAGACAAAAGTCTCAAAGTCAGCTAACAAATTTTATTCCATCCACAGATTTTATAACCACCTCCCAAGGTTATTGCCAACGCACACCGATACGCTTCTACCTTTCCAGTACAACCACAAAGAAAACCTTCTATACCCCAAACACAGCAATCGTATCAAATATTGATTTGAATATAAATGGTGTATTTGTGTATTTTATACGCCTTTCATTGCACCTTGATGTTTGGCTTGGTGGTTGCGGAGTTCTTTTACTTTTCATTTTAGCTAAATTACTTAAGCACCAAAGACCATATTCATGCTACAAGAGTAGACACACGTACTGGCGTCTGCAACAGTAACTTTTCTAAAAAAAATATCTAAAATCAATATGTTCCTTCAGGCAAGACGAGCGTGTACGGCACCTGTGCTCCCATTCCGAGCATTCTCCGTGGTGTTTGGGTAATTTGTCAAAAATGCATTACGTGACTCTTCGAACTTTCTTCGCCAGCGTAACTGATAACTTCAGCTATCAATTTCACGAAACTAACGAGCAGCGTGCCGAGCAGCGTACCGAGTTACAAAAAAAAAAAAAAAAATGACCGCATCTTTACGTGGTGAATGATGTTGATTACTAATCTACTATTCCTACTAGGATTACTAATCACTGTAGCAATATACTCGACTTGTGCTTAAGCCAAGACCCGTCAAAAAAGTCAAATTGGACGTTTAGTGTTTATACAGTGTAAGGTTGGTCTGCCAGGATGAGGCGACACTGGTTTACACTGTAGATGAGCAATTTTGCCAGTGCAGTACGACTGCTAACCTGGGGTCTTTAACGTGCTCACGCAGTAGTGATACACGACCGCACGCCGGTACGATGCTCATCCAGATCGAAACGGGCAGGGGTGGGGCTCGAACCCAGGATCCCTGGGTTCTGCAGCGCGAGCTTTCGCTCCACGCGCGGCGAGCTGGGTGTGCGCTTCAGCCCACTCGGCCACCGATCCCCCCCGCCAAGACCCGTCACTCTTCAGTAACATCACATACTTACCCGGCATTAGTGACCATCTCGTCATCGATTTAACTCTCTCTCTCTCTGCTCCTCGTAGATCACATTACTGCAAATTCATTCGCAATTACGCGAGAGCTGATTACGCATCAATCAACTCGAACCTCGAAGATTTTTATCATACTTTCTCTGTTAACTTCTGGGAAAGAACGGTTAATGAAAACTGGACTCTATTCAAAGATAAAATGATCTACCTAATCGAACGCTTTATTCCACTGACCCGTATTATATCTGACTACACTAACCCTTGGTACAATAAAACAATTCATAGTCAATCCAATAGGAAAAAAAGACTCTATAAGCGGACTAAGGCTGTCAACACTACGGCTTCTTGGAACACCTACTACGAATGCGCTAGGGCTTATAAATCAGCAATAAATCGCGCCAAAACCAAATTCTATAGTATCGACCTCCCCAACATACTAACCACGAAACCAAAGAAGTTTTGGAAAATAATCAATCCGGCAATTTCACTTCCTTTGCAATTTGTAGATGACGACGGACTTCCGCTTTCTGATAAACACGGCGCTCTTGCTATTAATAATTTCTTCTGCTCCATCTTTACTAACGAGTACTTACTAAATATTCCCGACTCGTGCCAATCCACTCACCCTCTCATGGATCCTATCGTAATTGACCGTACTGGAGTACTTAAGGCTATAGATCAACTAAAGGTGTCCTCCAGCTCCGGAGATGACCAAATTAACTCTAAGGTATTAATAAACACTAAACACATTTCTTCCACTTTCCTCTGCGACATATTCTCTCAATCTCTTAAACTCTCTGAAGTACCATCAGATTGGAAAGTTGCTAACGTCATACCCGTTCATAAAACAGGCGATCGCCAACTAATCGGCAACTATCGTCCCATCTCGCTCACCAGCGTTTCATGCAAACTCTTGGAGCACATTCTCTATTCTAACATAATAAATTTCCTAGACTCTCATAACCTCCTTTTCAAGCACCAGCACGGATTTCGCAAGTCCTACTCATGCGAAACTCAGCTAACAGCATTTCTAACTGACATTTACTCAAATTTCGATTCCAATGTTCAAACTGACGCCATCTTTATTGACTTCTCCAAAGCATTTGGCAGGGTCCCTCATCAACGTCTTTTAATGAAACTAAGAAATATTAATCTTCACCCCTCAGTAGTCAATTGGATTTCTGAATTCCTTACTAATCGCACACAGTACACTTCTATTAACAATATAAAATCTACCACAAGCGCAGTAACCTCTGGCGTCCCTCAGGGAAGCGTTCTTGGCCCTCTTCTTTTTTTAATCTACATTAATGATCTCCACCATGGCATCACTTCTGAAGTACGTTTGTTCGCCGATGACTGTGTCATATATAGACCCATTCATTCACGCCACGATCAGCTAACCTTGCAAAACGATCTCCAACTTATAATTCAGTGGTGTCATAAATGGCAAATGGCTTTAAACTATAATAAATGTAAATCGCTATCTTTTTCCCGCAGTTCACATGTTCTATCCTCCTCTTACCACTTTTCTGGCATCCCAGTAACTGCTTGTTCATCGTATAAATATCTAGGAATTCATCTGACATCTGACCTGTCATGGACCACTCATATAACAACTGTCATCGCCGATGCTAACCGCACTCTCGGATTTCTTCGCCGTAACCTCAGACAAGCTACATCCACCGTAAAACAACTAGCTTATACTACCTTGGTCAGAACTAAACTAGAATTCGCTTCTTCCATATGGTCACCGTGGCAGGCATACCTAACTAACAACCTGGAATCCGTTGAAAGCAGGGCCCTCCGTTTTATTTATTCCGACTATTCCCCATACGCAAGCATATCAGGACTTCGCCAATCAGCTAACCTTGACACTCTTTCCCACCGCCGCAGGGTGTCTCGTCTTTCTCTTCTTCATCGGATCTTTTATTACAACAGTCATCTCAGACAAAGTTTGTTATCACCTCCTTACCGCATTTTCCCTCGTCTCGACCATTCTTGTAAACTCCGTCCGATTACATCGTCAACCGTCACTCACCAAATGTCTACTTTACCATTGGCCATTGACGACTGGAACTCACTGCCTGACGTAATTGTTACCTTATCTGATACTAAGAAATTTTCTGCAGCCGTTAGCTTATTTTTTCTAACCCATAACTAGATTACAGCGTGTTTTCGTAGATAAATAGTCTTGTTACTTGTTTGTTTTTTAAGTGTTCACTCCCTTGTGTAATGCCCCCTGGGCCTTCAAGGAATAATAAATGATGATGATGATGATGATTGGGGCGAATCTCTGGTGGTGCTGATGATACTGATTTATTGTTCATAGGTAGTGCTGATGGTGCTGAATGTTTTTTATTGGTCATAGGTAGTGCTGAGTTCCGGGTTGCGTTTCGACTTCATTATTACAGCTTTATGGTCGGTGAAATGCAGAGCCAGTGGTTCTTCTAGCGGATCAGCTTGGATCCGCTAGAAACCGTGGGAACGCATCTCCATCGCTTAAGTCAACGGTCCATGTCAGAAAGAGAATGTGTGCTATGGATCGTGGTTATATACGCATTTGAGCATTTGACCGCAGCGCCATCTCGTCTATAAACGTTGAACCAATGCATGCAACGTTTAACGCGATTATATACGCATTTGACCGCAGTGCCCTCTCCTGTATAGACGTTGAGCGGCTACATGCAACATTTCATCCATGACAGAAACCCCAGCTCTTGAGTTACTACCACATCTCAGAGCCCCCTACTCGTCCCGCAGTCGTGGCCGAATGGTTAAAGCGATGGACTAGAAATCCATTGGGGTGTCCCCGCACAGGTTAGAATCCTGTCGACTGCGCAAACATGTTTTCTTTTTATGTGAGCACGGACGCCGGACGGACGGACGGAGGGACGGACGGACGGACAAGGCTAGACCCTAAGGAGCTTCGCCCCTAAAGAAAACGTTTTCTCAAAATCCCAATTGCTGCCGTTCTTTTTTTACTTTCTCATAGTTCAGCACGTAGGCCAAGGTCATACTTTTGCGCAACTAGAGATTATTATGAACTTGATGTAGCACGAACACACCTGTTTCTCACTGTTGGACGCGAAAACGGGCGCGAGCGTACCCGGCTGCGGGCCGCGCGCCTCGCCGGTGACGTCACGTTTGAATGGCGGAGAGAACTGGAGAAAAAGTGAAAGCCGTTTACAAATCCCTGTAACG